AAAGGCTGGCTTACACCTGTAAACCTACCCCAGCACCAGTATAGCCCTCATAACCAATGATTTATACAATTATACTGGTGTTAATTAATGCAGAAAATTTCACCAACTGCTCTACACACTATAGAACTGTTCCAAAGTCACATCTATTCTCATCCTAATATATAACAGATCACCTGCATTGTCTGCATCCAAAAAAAAAATTGCATTGGAATGAAACATTTTTTAATCATTGAGTCCCCCTCCTCCTCCTCCCCCCCCCCCCCCAAAAAAAAAATCACTTGTCAGTTGTTACCAACAAACTTTTATCTGAGAATATTCAATTTAATTTTTATTTCAAATTGAAAAATTGGTCTCCTTAACTGAAAAATGGGGATTTCTAAGATAATATCTTCAAAATACTTAAGGATTTATTAAGTCTATGTACATGAAGGTGGAAAGTGTCTTTCTGGATAAGGAAGGAAATAGATGTTTTGATCACACTAACTTCCTGCGAGTCAAATGACACCTGTGTTCCCCCTGATAAGAGATGGGAGAGAATTGACACTTGTGCTGGCCATCAGACATAAAACACATTGTCAAATTATCTACAGACTATCAGATCAACACTGAATAATTACAGGTCTGACAGTACATCAGTCACTATTACACAATTTTTTTTTATTTTAGGTTTTCTCTAAATCTAATTAATACTGCATATTAACAAAATTTATTTTCCACAATATTCTTCTCTCTGTCTCTCTCTCTCTCTCTCTCTATATATATATAAGTATATTCTAATTTGGGCATACAGTAGTAGTTCATTTTAATAGATACATGTTCAAATAATGAGCATTAAGCAACACAAAAGAAAGTTCTCATTACAAATATAAGACAAGACAAAATGGACCACCCCAACCAAACATCTAGTACCAGTTATCAGTAGAGAATTATGTATCGTTTCCTGCCGTCAACCTCCCAAATTTCCAAACAAAAAAATTTACCTGGATGAGCCATGTGGAAATTTACTCTGACAGGTAAAATTGGTTTGACATTTACCTCGACCAAATTAGATAACCTCTGTCCCCATGTGTCCTAGTATTTCTGATGCCATTGTTAGAAAGTGTGCAGTCACAGAACAGGTACAAATACCTAGGTGTAATTACCGTATATACTCAGGTATATGTCACTTCACTTATATAAGTCAGTTGTATTTTTTTAATATTATTTTGGAGGAATATATATAGGTAGTATGGTTTTTTGCCATTCTCAGATTAATTTTCTATTGTATTTACCTGTGTTTCAAAGTAAGATTTGGAGTATGACATCAATATCTTTTATTAACAATTTCTTAACAAAAATCTGTAAGCACTTGTGTTTTATGGTAACCTAGATCCTTTCCTGCATTAGATTGGGTTCCAATCTTTAGAAACAATTATCATTGGAGTGATTACAAAATAGATATTTCCTCTTCCAGAAAAATATCGAATTTCCTAGGAATGGCCGAATACCATGAATATGTCAAACAAAGTTTTGAACCAAAATTAAACTCTCAAATATCGGATTTATAGGCGAGAATACATGTACTGCATTCAGACTCTGTATCCATAATAAACACTGCACAGCTTTGTTAAACATTTAAACAAAAAAATATTTAGCACTTTAAGAATGGTTTGTGATACACCCGGTTTATGTCCACTCTCCCTGCTCCTTCTATGTTAAGGCGCAAGACTTCGAAAATTTCTCATATACATGTGGTAAAAATTCAAGAGAAATGCTGGAATACTGTGTATTTGTCCACAATAACTGACAGCTAAACAGTGTAATTATTACTGATAACCAGCCCCATTTGTGATACAATCACCTTTAACCAATCAAACTGATCACCTGAGCCAATTCTCACCTGAGGTGATGCCAGGTAAATGGTTTAATACCTGAGTCAACACACAGCAATTATTTCTCCAATAATGTGACAGTAAGCTGCTATTATCTCTGTTTGTTAACGGATAATACAGATATCTAACAAATAAAATAACTTATAAATTGAAACGGAGAGAAACTTTTACAATTAAAGTCTTTAAGTAACAAAAGCCTTTGAAATAATACAAAGAAGGCATTATTTATGGTAATACAGGCATCATTTACATTTCTGAACAAAACAACAGCAGCAAATAAATTTTCAAAAACCAATACTGCTGAAAGAAGATTTTATGATTTGTTAATGAATCTTTTTTTTTTTTCAAAAGAATAAGCTGAATTTACAAAGTCCCATCATTACGAGTGCTTTCAGGTGAAAATGCGACAAGGTATTTCTTGAGGCAGTCTTTTGTCCGGGCGCGTGGATGTCGTGCGACTACGATTTCACAGACTCGTGATTACAATTCACACCGCTTAAGGTGATTAAAAACCCAACTATTATATTCATTAAATGTGTAATAGAGATGTTCAAACTAACACTACCCTTGGACACCTACAATGCTACCTTAGAGGGATGAATTTACCCATAGAGCAGATTTGTTCAATTTCTAAAGAAATGAAGACCTTTGACATGATCAAAGATGAATCAGAGGCAACATCTGAATGAATGAACTTAGAGAAATTCTAGCTCAAATACCGAATAACTTGTATCTATCCTTCCAATTTTCCTAAATATTTATGGATTTGAACTTCCCTGAGTTTTTCTTTTTTATTAATCTGCAAACAACAACAAAAAGAAAAAAAAGACAAAATGCAAATGACATAGCCTGGATTGTGTTGCCATTTTATTGCCTGTGAAAAAAGGAAATCTAATGCCCCGTTTACCTTAAGTGTTCTTTCAAAGAAAGTATCCAAAGAGAAAAGAATCAATTTAAGACCCCAAGAAAAAGAGTTTTATTCTGAGAGCTATCACAAATTTGACAGGTAATTTGCATATAATACTAAAAACAAATTTCAGGTGTTGGTCCAAAACAAAAGCTTTTTTTTCCACAGAAGTGCCATTTCCCCATCATCAAATGAGGGGGACACCTGATTTTTCTTTCACTTTTCTGGAAATAATGGAAGAAAGAGAGGGCAGGTTTCATGCAATGCCAGGTGAAATAAACCAAACACTGGTCACCAATCAGTTTTAACATAGGTTAGAATCAGGATCCCAATAAAATATAGCCAGAGGTATTCCCAAGTTTTTACACCTTTTGAATGACTGTCATTAATTTAATTACAGTGAGCAAATTATGAAATGAGAGTGCTCTGGAACTAGTAATATACCAATAAAACGTTGACAGCTAACTTGGGACAGATGTGTTATTTAATTAACTGGGTACCTTGAGGACAGGTAATTTGGTACTGGGGGAATTTGACGTCCATCAAAGTGATGATTTCAATTGTTAACATCAATGGATACCTTAGCAGTAGTTGCAATTTAGATTATTACTTAGCATAATTAAATTACATAGATGTTAATTACTGATGTGGGAATAGATACAATTGATGCAGAGAAAGGTGTACTTAAGGTGATGGATTTCAATTGAGTTAATTAAGGTGGAAGCCCCTTGGATGGATCTAAGATGAGACACCACCATTACTTCCTGATACAGATGGTCCCAGAACCTAAGCCTTGAAGCTAACAACCAAAATAGAATTCTTAAAATTGTCCACAGAAAAATCTAGAGAAATTCAGAGGATGCTTTAGACTTCAAAGTGATTATCAAGCAAAGCATAATGACCAACATGAAAAGATCAAATGAATCTTAAAATTCTTGGACAACTAATATCTCTCAAATAATCATTATGTAGTGAAATGTAAAATTATTTGTAAATCTTTATAAATCAAACAAGTAATTAAAGTTATGAAATAAAAATGAAACAAAATAAAATCTAAATTATTGGAGGACTTTTACTTTTCAAAGAAAGTGATAAAAACTGAGCCCAGTTGGCTTTAATTTCTTGGAAGTTAAACCTTGTGGTAAAATATATAATTCCAATGGTGAATTCGGTTACAGCTAAAATAAAAACCAGAGCCAAAAGAAAATCAATAGAAAACCGCTTCTTTATTCCTGTTAGAAAAATTATTATTGACCATCAATTTAGTATGGACTAAAGAGAGAAGAGTTCAGCTCACTTTCATTGTCAATTTTTATTTTACTTTTTTGTTTAACAAAAAGAGAAAGAAACCTTAAAATTTGCAACTTCAAAAAACATGTGCATTACATATTCTAGTGACTCATGTAATCCAAAAGGTACATATTACAACAGCATTATTCTGTAAACCCTGGCTGTATAAGTACTTATTTTTATTCACATCCCTAACATAGACCACTTAAAAACCCTGAGGATGTGACTGTCACAATGAATGGAAATTATGTCAGTACCTCACCATCTTCCAGTAAGGAAATTAAACAAAAAAAAAACATCAATGTATTTATATCTAAATTTTAACAAACACTTATTAACTATGATTTAAAACATTAAAGAAAGAATTACTGAACCTGAAGACCAAAAAAAAGTAGTTAAAAGAAACAAATTACACCTTTGGTTTACCTTAACATAATTATATCCAATAAAAGAAAAACAATATTTCCTTAAAAGTATTCTTTAATCATCAGTGAATAAAGATTAGACCTTTCAAAACAACAAACAAATGCTCATCATCGAACGAGGTGTCTGTCTCACTTACAAAATCCGTATAGAGCCGTCCGCCATTGCTACGCCGTATTATAATGATGCGGGAATAATAATTTCCCTACTGAGTCTAATTTAAGGTCACATAAAAGTTTTACCTTTGTTCATGGTGGCTTTATTAAACTTTACAAATAGTATTTTTCTTATCAAATGTAAATGACAAAGCTCAAGAAAGCATTAAAATATATTTGAGCATCCCTCAATCTCAGCAACTTGCCTTCTCTCGAGCAGGTATCGAGAAGGTAACGTCACCGTAAGAAATCTACAGAAGCGCGCCTCAAATTGATTTTCCCCGATTGCGGGTGAGTGAAAATTAACACGGGTAACTTAGTTAATAAAGAAGAAAGTTTGTAGTGATGACTTACCATTTTTTCTTTTAGGATTTCTCTGCTTTCTCCTTCCGCACCTGTCCGTCTCTGCCATGTTTTCATTTCACCATCAACCTGGTAAATATTATTGCGCATGTACTACTACTACATCAAAAGACAGCTTCCGGTCATATTGGGGAATTTGTCCCCCAAAATTAATTTTTAGAGTATAATTGTATATGTCTGGATCACTATAAACCTGGATTAGGTAAAATTATAAATTGTAACGGAATATAATTTGTGCTCATCACATGGGACTTCCTTGTTTACTTTTTTTTGTTGAGTATGAGAGCTATGGCGCACGTGAAGTGATGGTGTAAATTTTGAGTGACAGGGTGAGTGATGCGTTCACAGGTGCTGCATCCGCACCTAATCTTCTTAAAAGTAGGACTTATGGTTTACAATCTTCTACACTGTTAAATGAAAAATGTGGTTAAAAAGGAAGAAAAGGATTTCTTTCATACATATTTTTTTCCCCATGAATTAGATTTATTTCAAATTTAGGAAAGGTTTGATTTTTTAAATTTTACATTTTTCCCCAAGTTATTCCACGAAACAGTAAGACAATATTTTAATTTTCTAGTATCAATGTGTTGCAGTGCATGACTCTGCTTTTGTAACAAATATTATAAACATAATTATATAAAATACTTTATCAGAACAGGTAAAAAAAAAAAAAAAAAAAAGCTATCCTTGACAAAATGCTCACATTAAGGATAAATACGTGTTAACAAAAAATTGATACATGGATTGATATAAATATATTGAATAGAAATGACATAAAATAATAAATCTCTAAAATATAAAGAAATCATAGGTTTTCTTTGTTGCTTAAATTTGCAACTTTGTCCCATTTTCTATAAATCTAAATTAAAAACAAAAATGCACACATTTTTATCCACATTTAGTACAAAATCTTACAAAATTTTCGCGGTTACCCTGGCAAACATTATTCAGATTATCTATATGAACATAAATATGTTAGATATATTGATGATTTCTGTGGGGAAAAATGTATTATTTATCCTTATAAAAAGGGAGTTTTTATCTTTGAGCTAACAAGGTGTGCTTCTGGAGCCCCGAGAGGACCTCTCTGAGTCACACTAAACACAGCAGAAAAATGTCTTGGAGGCAGAGGCGAATGAAACTCGACACTTGAAAACAACAGAATTGAGTTTGAAGTAAATCTGTGATGTTAAGCACCTTACACTTCTCTTATCACCGACTGCCATCAAAAATACAGGTCGTAGGCGCACAAAGAAAGCTACACACGTTATTCTAAACAGGGGCGTCAATATTTCTTTTGGTTTTGAAAGATTTAGAAAAATATACTTCTAAAGCACCGGTAAAAGTTAGTTATGACACGTAGATTTAAGATAATGTTGAGAGGGAGAAAGCTTCTGTGTGCAGCGATAACGCAATGCTACCGTTCCGTGTGGCTCGCGTCAGAAGTTTTACTACAGTTTCTGGGAATTGTCAAAACGGTAACGGTAGCGTATACGTAGACCTTCTTGTTCGGGTATATTTCCAGGTTTTATTTACTTTAAATGACATCATATTGTAATGTGCAACTATCATGTTGTAAATAATAAATTTCAGTACTAAGTGGAGGTAAATACAATTTTTATAACATGATAACTATTTATCGTGTTGTTCCACCCTAGTGAAATTCGAAATTTACAACATGATACAAAAAAGAATACAGTGCAGTTGTTGTAAATAACGACCATCAGAATAATAAATAGATTTAAGGTATGTCCCTACTCGAATGATGTAATCAGTAGAAATAATTTTTATAAGGGATTGAAAATGTATAATGATCATTATTAGAGAATAACTGAATTACTAGATCTTGTTTTAACCATTTTGTATTGGTAGCATGTCTAAAAACGCTTTGATTTCTACTTTATTTATATTTAATTTTTTTAATACATACATTATTGTAGCATATGCAGTACTATTTATAAGTGATTATCAAATATACGCATTTTATAAATATTTTTTTCTTAAAATAAAGAATTCCATTGTTTTTTCAAGGAAAACAAATGAAGTGACTTGGGTCTTTTTTTTAGGCCCATTTTGTATTAGACGCATGTCTAAAAAGGCGTTGATGTCAACTTCATTGATACTTCATTTTTTTTAAACACCTATATTGTAGCACACTATGCAGTACTATTCATACAGTGATTATCAAATAAACGCAATTTATAAATATTGTTTTTCTCTTAAAATAAAAAATTCCAATTTATTTATTTATTTTTTTTTAAAGAAAACAAATGAAGTGACTTAGGGTTTTCTAAGAAATTTGTTTCAATAACATATTTTAGATATTGTAGAAAGAAAAAAAAGCTACATTTTTATAGATTTTTAAATGCAATATATGTAAATCTAACATTCTAAAGAAAAACACAAGGTGGCAATCCACTTCAGAGTGGAAATATGCCAAAAAATGTCAAATTTTGTTAAAGTTTTGAATTCTACATTTTTATATAGTCCCCCCCCCCCTTTTCAATTTTTGTCAAGTAATAAATAAAAGTGTCAATTATTGTATTTTTTTAATCTATTATATGATAAATAAATAAAATTAATCAATATTGTATTGACAACTGTCGACTATTGATTTTTGTTAAAATTGTGTTATGATAGAAGGGGATATACGTCTTTAGGCGATTCCGGTCAGAAACATAACCAGTCAAGATATGTATTTCATGTGCTTTATAATTACCTAAGATGTTATTCTATTGATACCAGTTAAAAAAAAATGTTAACCCAGAAAACGTCGAGGAGGAACCTACCTTAAGGGAAAAATAAGATTCTTTATATGGTCAATTTTAATGGTATACGTATAAAACGTTGTTGTTGTTTTTTTCAATTGCTCATTAAAGATTGAAATCATGAAATCACATAAATTGAAATACACCATTTTAATAAAAATACCACTTACATGATTTTTTAAAAAATTTTGTTTAATTTATAATAGAAATAAAATAAATTATTACCAGTTCAGTAGGTTTTTTAGTCTTGTAACAAGGTCTGGAGCGATGCTTCTTCGGTGGCACTCTGAATAGAAATGATGCTTCAGGTAGCTGGATGGCTACTGTGTATTATACGCGGCGGTACAGAAGGCGAATCGCAGTGTCTGAAGTCTTACCTGGTCAGGTATACCGAAATTCACGGCATCTTTGATGCGACAGGTGGGCCACCCGAAGATGACGCGTGCCGCGCACACGAGAATTTCACCAGGTAAAGGTGTGATGAGTTTGTATATTCTATGTATATTGGGCGGTTTTCCTGAACAATAGAGACCTAATTAGGGTCCAGGTAAGAGTATACACGCGGAGCATCAAAAAAGATTTTATACAAGAATTTATTTCAATTTTCCTCGGGAGACGAAAGGAAAATTAAATAATTTAATCATTTCATGCATTTATAATCATTATTTACGTATTTTCCATTAATTAGATTTTTTTTTAGTCGTAATGTAAAGTTTAATCAAGATTTGAAAATATTTTTCATTGTAAAAATGAAACATCACAGCGATAACTGGATAAAGGCTTGTCGAATGAACAATCGAAGAAAGTGGCTACGTTCTATGCTCTTGATTAATTCATCATATAAGGTTCCCAATCACACCCGGTATACATTTCTATTGTCTGTTTACTGTTTAAATTGGGACAATCATTATTTTTGTTTTTACTAAGTAAAATTAAAAGACCAAGGCAATTGTTTGTTTTTTAATTGTTGTCTATTTATTTTCACTAAATAAATGAATAACATTAAACGAAATAAAACAACACACTTGTCGAATATATAACAGAATGATACCAAAAGTACAACAAATTCATTTCAGTTGTATCACAAGGTGATACTTTGTAAGAATAAAGAAGCCGTGTTCAATTCTAAGTAAACTAAGAAGGAAACTGACTCAATTGCTGGGATTTTCTGTGTGTTTTTTTATGTAAGTAGGAAATCCTAGGCGTCCTTAGGGAACAATAATGCCAATTCAGTAAGGGAAATATGGAGTACGATCTTCTGTTTGAAAAAAAGTTTTAAGAGGTTAAAAATCAAAGACCCCGGACATGATTGAATAAGAAACAGAGAGTCAGAAGCTTATTTTTTCTGTCGTAAATACTGGTGCCCACTCAGCTGTTGAGCTCCCACCCCACCCCTTTTCCCCAACACATCACGCACACAAACACACACATGAGCTTGCTATAGCTAATGATACTATAAATGCAAATAAATAATCGTACTAATCAATGTACATTTAAAAAAGAAGTCTACGTAGCTCTACAAAGTTTCACTGTATTAGGCTTCGAACAAACTTTTTGGTTCACTAATATTTTTTGCAAATTACGTAAAATATTAAATTCAAATGTATACTGAGCTGGTACTTATATCTGCTATCTGTCAGTGTCGCAGAAAATTGTTTTTCATCTGCCTTTTTCAATCGTAGGATGGTGATTTGTTCAGTTTCTAAATTTTCGTGACAACAGTCAAGTGTCAAATATTTTTGCACTCAAAATTCTATATTTTACGCTTTTTTGAAAATTCAAGAACTTTTTTTTATTTCACTGTCACTTTTGCATATAAAATCTTGATTGATGCAGTAATCCATTTTATAACATAAAAGGTTTCTTCAGACTGTAAGTTCATTTGCAGTGGTTAACAGTATTTTGCACAACAGAAATTCAAGGGGATTCACCCACATATCTTATTGTTCATGTTAATTAAAATTTTCTTTTTCATACACAAGTTTGCCCAGTATAATATAATTCTAGTATACATGTATATATATGTCGTTGCTATTGATTTGACTTTCTTCTTTTGTGAATTACTCTACACTTTACATGGCAATGCCCTCAAGGGACCAGAATTTGTCTCAATATTGGGCAAGATTAAAAAATGTGTCGGGAAAAAAAACCAAATTTAAATAGTAAGGGGGAAGGGAAGGGGATCAAGAGCCCCAAAAGTTTATATCCGACATCCATAATTACACAAGAAGTGCATACCGGTATTTATTGTTATTGGTGTTTGAAATGATTTTTTAAATGAATAAACATAAGAAATATAATTTATTTACAGTGTTATAAATATATACAAATGTATGAATTAAATTTCAATCAACATTCACCACATTTAATTTTTTTTTTGTGGGGGGGGGGGGGGCTTGATGAAAACTATGTGAATTTAGTTATTTTGTCGGATATTGATCTCGCCCCTAAATCTGATATTGTATATTAATGTATAATGGAAACCGACCTATTTC